CAGGTTTTGGCCAAAATATGCCAGCTTGTTCTGATTAAAACTCTCGCTGTTATACTAGAGACTTTCCAAATGTCTGTGAGCAGTTTGTGTTGTATATTTGGGGCGGTGTTGGGGTTCCTGGGGGGAGGCGAAGGGGGTGCAGCACGCAGGCAGTTTGAAGAGGGGAAAAATGTAACCAGACAACTCCGAACGGCGAAAGATGACGAGTGTAAGTCCAAGAACAGGATGGGAATAGAGTGGAAAGAGATGGAGAGGTACGGCGGCTGAGTGGAAACAGAGAGCGGCTGAGACGGTAATGGTAGTTGACAGAGTTGGGTTCACGACAGGTTCACGGTGACATCATGGTTGAATTTTGGGGAACATTTATATCGGAAAAACTATTTGCTTTCCATTGGATGCACATGTACCCCTTTAACCACTTTTTTCCGCGTTTCTTTCCTCCTTGGACAAACCACAAGCACAAACTGCTGCAAATATCCTCAAATGTTCAGATTTGCTTCAGAAAACAATACAGGACTGGAAAAAAAGAACCTTCCACCGTTAAGCTTTCTTCTGCTTTTACCTTTTGGTTACAATTATCCATTTTGAAATCATCAAATAAATCCCCGTTCCACCTTCACTAGACATGCTGCCGGATTAGTACCAAATGTGTTGAACACAACCTGTTTGACAACCTGAAGTAGGGGCTAAACAATCTCGAAGAGTAGTACAGCATGCCCCAATATGAAAAAATAAAATAAAAAACAGACGCAAAACAGTCACCAACATCTGTCAGCATGGAAAAGCTGACAAAGTCTATCGAAGAATTTGTGACTCCGCTGAACAACAGAGGGAGGAAAAATGACGTCAATGTTAGAGTTGCAAGATAAAAACCAAGTTTGAGCAAAATTGCCCGTATCAGATTTCCTCAAAGAGTGGCCTTGAAGATCCCCAAGATTTTTGAGGAATCCAAAAGACAGAAATAGAAACTACGCAGCATGACAACGATTTAAAGCGCCAGAACGACCAACTTAAATGACAAAAAAGATTTCAAAGTGACCGGTTAAAAGTTTGTGTCTAAATTTGATTGAGATGTTTTGTCGTGACCTGAAGCAGGACGTTCGAGCTCCCTTCAGCCCTTCAATGTGGCCGACTTAAATCAATTCTGTAAAGAAGAATGGGCCAAAATTCCTCCATAGTGATGCAAAACACTCACTGCCAGTTATAATAAAAGCTAGATGGCAGCTTGTGTCGCCAAAATTTTTAGTGGAAAATTTCTTTTTTTTTTTTTTTTTTTGCATACAGCTAGGTTGGGGTTTGGAAAGCTTTTTTTGCATCGCTGGATGAAATCATCGTTTGAAATTTGCATTTTTTTTTTTTAATGTTTGACTTTAAAATTTGTTTACATGAAGCATTAGTGTGAAAAAAAAAGAAAAAACAAAAACAGAGAAAATCTGCAACAAACTTTTCTCTAAATGCTTTTTACGCCAACGTGCAACATTGTAGCTCGTTTTTCTGTAACGTAGCATCTCAACCAGTTGTTTACTAAACTGGCAATTTTACCCGGTTTTTCTGCCCTTCTTTTCCATTTTCCTCACTTCTTTTCTTCCTCACAGCTCTTGTTTTCTCTCTTGCTTTTGCTCCCCCCTTTTTTTTTTCTTTTTCTTTTTTTTTTATGCCTGCAAGTCTAGCCAGCCCTCACCGCTGGTACAGTATGTTCTTTGTGTGTAGGCATGTTTAGCAGTATGAGAGACAGCAAATACATAAAGGAGCCTTGGGACCAGAAATGTGTTTCGAGTGTACGTGTGGGTGTGATTATATTTGTGTCAGCTCTTTTTCTTGCTCGGGGAAAATTAATAACAGGGTGTTGTGTCGTATTAAACGCTCTCTGTGTTGTGCAAGTGTCGTTTCTGTATGAGCCGTGGTGCCAGTGTTAATTGGTTTGCGGGCTGTGTGAGTCTGGTTCTGTTTTTGCAATTCTGCTTACATGTTTGTAGGTTTGTTTGCCGAGAGAAAGACAGCAGGCATGTCATGCATGCCTGTCATCCTCTGCATGCTCGTCCATGCACCAAAGAGACTCACATGACATCAATCTGAGAGCGGCGGGATAGTGATCTCATTACCAACAGCCTGCTGCTGATTAAAACCTGCAACCTCTGCCTTTACCAGCACCCCCCCCCACACACACACACACACACCTCCACCCTCCTTCACCATTTTCTTCTTCCTCTGCCTTTGCCTCGGCACCCTTCCTCCTCTCTCCACCCCTCGACTCCAGAGTCGCACCACTCTGCGGTTTCTCTGCTGCCTGCTGCCAAAAAGGGCCCCATTTTAAATTCAGCAGAAGGTTATAAACTCCCAATCTATTTTTTGTTCTCAGTTCTTCTCAATTTTATTGTCCTTTGTTTTACATCTTTATTAAAAATACAGCGCTTCTAAAAAAATAAGCTTGAGCTAAACAGGAAAGTTCGTTGTCAGGTCTTGTTTGAAAGAAAGGATGTTCATCTGAATTCAGAAACACACAAATACCTGGTTCTCACTCAGCAGACGTACACACTCTGTGACTGTTCACCTTCCTCTGACACAGAAACACAAACAGCACTAACCTCTCGCTCTGCTAAGGAGCAGTGTGCCACTGGGCCAGATGGTTACACCAGTAAACCCAACGCAGTTAAATGCGGTGCCTTGTAAAATTATTCAGCCTAGCTTTTTCACATTTTGTTTTTAAAGGAACAAATATCTCTGGGTTTTACTGCAGCTGCAGCTGTAAGTCTTTGCGGGGATGCTCGTACCAGCTTTGCGCACCTGGACGTTAACATGTTTTGCAAACAGCAGAAGCTCAGTCAAGTTGGTTGGAGAGCATGTGTAAATTTTCCAAGTCTTGCCACAGATTTTAAGTCGTCTTCCGGTTTGGGCTTTGACTGGGCCCCATTGTTCAGGGACGTTGTACGGATGAAAGGAGACCTCCAGGTCTTTTTCAGCCTGAACAGGTTTTCTTTCAGGATTGTCTTGAATTTTGCTTCATTCATGCTCCCACTAACTCTGACCAGTTTCTCTGTCTCTGCTGATACAAATCATCCCCACACCATGACACTGCCACCACCATGTTTCGGGATGAGGGTGATGCATTCAAGGTGATGTGCAGTGTTTGTTTTTCTCCACACATAACTTTTCATGCAGTTGTATGCTGTCAGTATATGAACGGACAGCGTTCCTACAGCGGAGGGTCTATAATTACCATGCGGATCCCTTCAGAGTAAAACATGCAGCAACCGTTACAGCTGCATCTGACGCTTACCTACTGACTTAGTTTGTCCTGATTACATAAGCTAATGATTGCTAATAAGACTCGAGCCTCGGACCAGAAGTCTAAGTCATGTCACTGTTATTTGCAGCACCAGTTTAAGTCAGTGAACTCAGTCTTGGTTTTTCCAACTTGGCTCCGACTCAAGTTCAAGTCTCAAACCTGACCTTAGCGTTTCATCTTTGCTGCGATGACTAAACTCAGCAATAAGGTAGCTACCTAATCTAATGTTCATAGTGTGCAGCTGATAGCTAGTTTCCACCATTACTCTTGTCTGACGCTGGGTGTCTGTTGCCGATAACATTCACTTGAGAATTCACACTTTGGGCATCATCTTTGTGATGAACTCTTTGGGCAAAGCTAATACCACAGTGGGTTATCTGATAATTGGCATCTTATTAGAGTTATTACCTCATAGCTCTGTGGGTCTTTCCACAAAGCTATGCTATTCAAGACCATTTCTACTTTCTGTAGATGATTAGTTGTGGCTGGCCTCCCTGTAACATTTTTATATTTGCTATTAAGTGGAAACTAAAGTATCTGTAGCTGTCCAGAACGTCTGAAAGGTTGACGTCTAGTTCGGCCTTTTCAGTTGGGATAACCTTCCCTCTCTTGGATAACATTTGACTGCATCCATCCAGTCTGAATGACATTCCAATGTCGTTACTATTTATCTTGCTGGCATGCCAAGTTTTTTGCTAATATCTTTTTGGGAATCACCTTGTTGCTGCCAAAATGCTATTTCATGCCTGTCAAACCAAACTATCTTTGGTATTTCTTCAGTACAGACAACAAACTAAATGGAAACAACTTGATTCTTGCAGGCTGCCAAATCCAAAGGGCCTATAGATAAGATTTAAAACGTGTTCTTATTTACCTATTGCATGTAGATACAATACCGGCTCGTCCTTTGAATTTATCTGACCAGTCAAACCAAAAGGTAAGGAAAAATGTAAATGCATTATCTCATCTCTTGTTTCCAGCAGGCCGCCTGCACCTCTACAGTAATTTGCTGGACGGCTGTGCAGTGTGTTTCCTCGTTGCTGAGGCTGGTCAGATAGACGGCAGACAGATTTATCTCTGACATGAAGAGACAGCGAGCTTTACCCTCCGAGGGCCGACTGGCCCGGCTTGATCTCATCACGGATCAAATGGTGCTCCATTAAATGTTTCCTCACCAGAAAAGCACAGGGTTGATTTGCTTAGGAAAATCCTGTAGGAGGAAAAAAAGAGTCCTCTGAATAATTGTGAAGCTGTTGAAACTGAAAGGAGAAAATCCCTTTGTGCTTTTCAAGCCAGGCCCGATGGAAAATAACTTTTAGTCATTTGCATTTCAGTGAAATGCAAAGAATATATATTTCTCCATAGGTTTTGAGTGAAAGTCCCTTGACGTTTTGTAAAGCTCTTGTAGGTACAAGTTGTTTTTTTTGTTGTTTTTTATGGAAAAGTTTGGATCGGCGTGTTGGCGCTAAGCATTTCCAGGTCACACCGAGGCATTTGATTGGCCCAATTCCTTTATCCCTCAGGTTAGACAGTCACAGTCCAAAAGTCAAGGCACGCAGGAATGGAACGAAAGCTATGGGCTGATACTGATACCCCCAAAAGGTGTGCACCACTTGCCAAATGTGTGTTTGTGTATGTCAGGGAGTTAATCGCTGTTTCATGACTGCGTCTCCTTGTGCATGCATGCACAGGCCAGCCTATCCTCCAGGTGATGAGCAGAAAAAGACACAAACCGGGGAGGCTGAAAGCAAACAGTTTGCCGTGCATTAAAAATCCCACTCACGAGCGCTGACTGACAGCGCGTTTCAGATGGACCGAAGGTAAGGAGTGACTTTGAGACAAAGAAAGCGAAGCGGGTGGGGGTTGAGGGGGCAGCAAGTTGAAACCTAAGCTCTCTGAACCCTGTTTTCCCTGCCTTCGGGCATTCTGTGGCTGGTAAAAATATGTGCTGTATATTTGAAGTGTTATATCACGTGACAAAGGCAGGGTTTGTGAATCAAAGTGCACGACGATCTCAAGAGGAGGGAAAAAGACAGAGAGAAAGAGAAAGAGGGTGTGCGCTGGTGAGAAGACGACGACGACGAGAGAGACGGGAAAAGCAGAGAGGGAGGTGGAATGCAACAGGCTGAGCTCTGTTGTCGCTGCAAGTCGGACTTCTGACTGACAAACGCGACCGCGGCGCTACGTTTCAAACTCCCTTCTCCTCCGACTCTCTGAGGCGTTCACATCCAACATCTGGTAAGTTTGCTCCCAGGGTTTCCTGATAACTTTTAGTCTGTTGGCGGTTTTTGGGAGAAGAAGAAGAAGAAGAACAAGAAGAAGAAGAAGAAGAAGAAGAAGACAGGCAGAGGACATGTCAGAGCATGAGTGAGAAGTGTTCCTCTTGTCCCTCTCCCTTCTCTCTTTCTGTGTGTGAGTCGGTGTGTGTTTGTGGGACAGCATGAGTGGGGAGATTGAGTTTCTCGAGGACAGCTTTAATTGAGAACAGAGATTTGGAGAGGAGTAGAAAGAACAACAGAAAAAGCTTGGAAAGAGAATAAGAGCTGATCAGAACTATGGTATGATGATGATGGATACTTTGTATTTGTTTGCCCCATCTATGAGCGGAAAACTCCTTTTTGCCGCGGATTTTTAAATAAACAGGATAAAAACCGTTGTGCATAGGGAAATAAGACGAGTTAGTTAGTCTCTCATCCACGAAAAGCAAAGCGTTTTCCTCTGCTGTAAACATCAGGGTCGGTCAGCTTTGAGGCCATTTCAATTTGTTTTCCTGCAGCAGACGAAGACGCTGCTGCAACCTGAAGGCTCTGAACCGCCAAACCGGCTGTCAAAGTTGATTGATCGCTCCATCAACCTCACAGTGATTGAGCATGTCTAGTCTACCTTAGCTTCAGTGTGATCCCTCACCCTGACCTCCCTCCCCACCAAAGGAAGCACTGACTCTGTCAGATATCATAAGGCGATCTGCTGTCTGATCATTGCTGCTGCTTTGCATCATGTGTGCAAATAAACTAGGTGACCCTCTCGCGTTGAAACACGAGCTCTTTTTATACAGACTGAATCACTTCAGATAGCATCCTTTGTGCGACATGTGGTGCATGACTACAAATGTGCTGCTTGATTGATGATGATGATTAATATGTCATTTGCATGCCAAGTGCTTCCACTGCGATCTTATTTCTGGATTTGAGAGCTGCGTTTGACACAGTTCGCCATAATCCAAAGTGTGTGAGGTTGTCTGGTACTTTGCTGAATTGGGCCGGATCTGGTTTGGAAATACTTTTTGTCATTCTGAGCAAACGACGACCGCTTGTGGGGTTCTTTGAGGTTTCATTCTCGGGAAAGTTTTCGTTTGACATCTACGCGATGGCCTTAGCTCAGACCATGCAGTATTACCACATTGCTTACAAAATCTATGCTGATGACAAATGACTGTATTTCTGTGCCACGACATCCGTTACATTTACTAAAACAGAATATCCAAAAGCATCAAAGGGCGGTTGAGCTAGAATTTCTGGCAGCTTAATGCAGAAAACAAAATATTTTTGTCCCAATTATGGAAGCAAAGAACGCAGCACCCAGCTGGACTGAGAGAGGCTGAAGATCAAAGACAGTGCAAGATGTCGTTATGGACTCCGACGTTAATTTCTACGTCTAAATCTGTTACTAAATAAAGAAAAAACAAGACATTGAAGGTTTTTATTTTGAGTTTGGTTATATTATTGTGTAAAACTACTAATAAGGCAACTGGACCCCATCTCAGTATTTTCTCTAGAAACCTCTGAGTGGTTTTGAACCTTTTCAGATTTGCTTGTCAAGTACACACAACTAAAATCACCAGATTTCTGGCCAATCAGGGCTCCCAGGTCAAGAGCAAAAAGAAAAGGAGAGAGCAGCCAGATTTTAAGCTCCTTCACACCGGAACAAACTTCCTAAGAGCCCGAGATTTACAGAACCTATTGACTCCTTCAAACTTCGCTCTTTAACTCAACGTTCCCATACGACCCAAAGACTTCTTTATCAGTTCATTTTTTTTCATGTCTTAATTTTTCAAAATGCAAATTTTTCATTTCAAGGTTTCTCTCTTTTTACATGCTGCTTCAGTTTTACCATTATTCTTTTAAGTTATCCCATGACTTTTAGTTTCCTTACCTTTATTATTTTACTTTTCTGTTAATATTCGTAGCTTTCCACATCTGTCGGCTAACGCTGCGTCGATGAGCGCTCGGTCAGACCCATGGCAACGGCAGGCCTGGCCGCCGGTCGGTCTCGCAAACTCTTGACAGATCTGTTCCAGATTAATTTTCCTTAATGTCTGGAGGAATGTTCATCAGCGTGTCGCAGGGAAAAGTGCATGAGTCTGCAAGAAGGGGGGAAAAAAAAAAACAAGTGGGTGTGAACAATGTATCACGCAGTACATCAGAATCACATTGTAAACATGCTTTCTGTGGCGTGGTCATTTCTGTAGAGCACCAGCTACTGAATGGATTAAGTGTAGTTACATTTTTAAGTTTTCCTTTTAGTTTAATTTATGCAGAGAACAAACTGTTGGAACATCTTGTGTGTGTGTGTGTGTGTGTGTGTGTGTGTGTGTGTGTGTGTGTGTGTGTGTGTGTGTGTGGTTGCATGGTCATGTGTTGGGGTGTGCTAACTTCTTTAACTGCGCTCCAATCTCATCTTTGTTCTGTTCACTTTTGAAGAATGACAGCCCCTCAGGCTCAGAGCGATGTCTGGCTCTTCTCTGTCTTTCCCTTTTTCTTTTCCCTCTGTCTCACTGCCTTCTTTCTTCCTTATTTCCTTTATATATTTAAATATATATATAAAGCGGGAGCAAATTCTTCACTCTTTTCTGGTGCGTGTCAGCTGAGTTTCATTTTGTACGGGTTTGTTCTCTCAGTCGCTACTTTCAAGACAAAGATGCAGCCATTTGCTGCTCATTTCTGAGAGCGCAGGGCGTCACTTTTCTTCTGCTCTGCACCATTGTCCGCCGAATTATTTTTGATGGATTCGTTTGGAGTCGCGTACTGGTCATGGTTTGGTTCGACGTCTTCAGAGATTCGAAAGTCACTTTGTGACATTTACTGTTGCTCTCCTGCAGTTTCTTAAACTGAATGCTGAATAAGCCTTGGTGACTACGGAGTGCCTCGGTGTGATTAATCGTGTCCTGAGGGCTGTGTCTGAGTAAAAGTAACTAGTTCGTTTTAGCCCAGTTTAAACCACTCTGAGGAGGAACATCAAGAAACTGATGGGGGATATTTGACTTTAATGCTGAATGAAAAGTGTCCCACCGAACGCTTGGATAAGATGTGACCTCCACAGCCTGAAGCGACAGGCCGTGACCCCGGAGCCGACCTGGAGACCTTTAGCAGACCACAGGGTGGCCTCCTTATAATGACAACATTATGTGTCTTATTAAACATTGCTGCTATTGTCAACCTCATTCGCATCAGTGACACAGAGTCTCTGTGTTGGTCGTGTTTCAGTTTTTCCCTTTAACACATTTCAGTTTTGGTTGTTTTATACGCCACACACACACACAAAAATGGGGACATTTAGTGAAGACAGAGTCAGTTCCAACTAAAACGAGCCTCTGCCACAACGACAGTGTGTCTTTTCACGCCCACTTTGTCTCAGGAAACAGAAAGGAACCATCTGCCATGGGACGCTTCGTGCCGATCTGGTAACAATTCGTACCTGTTTACCTTCAAAAGGAGTCATCTGTCGCAGAACTTTTTCTCAGTTCGTAAATATTCATAAAATTTCAGGAAATGAAACGGAAGTGTCTGAACTAATACATGCTTGTACCAAACACGTTGTGTGTATTTATGCACAGATGCATGTTTGTACTAGACATGTGTCAGCTTATACCTATTTTCAGGCTATTTTAGAATAGATGGAAAGATATTGTTATTCTAGTGCTACAGCAGCAAAGGGAGTACGGAGATACACACACAGATTAGTAATAATAATAAAACAACAACAGAAAAACACAACAGAGCACTCAATTATGCCAAGTCTTCACTTTAAAAAGTGTTTTATTGTTTTTCCAGCCACTGGCACAAGAACCACTGCTGGCACCTCGGCTGCTTTTTGTGGCCTTCAGAAGAAATTGTGGTCAGCTAATTAGCCAATTTAAATGCATCATAAAAAGGAGTTAAGTGATTTGTATGTGACTGATTTAATGACCTACAAATTAAAAGTTCAAATAAACAAGAATCTTTTCACTCGTTAAAGTCGGCTGCCTCGGGTTTTAAGGTCAGAGTTGGTAAGGCGCCCTCATCTTTACCATTTGAGAGGAATGGAAATGTCTCCCACTACCAACCTTTAAGTTTAAAGTATGTTAACACGTTATGTTGGCTAAAATCGTTTATTTAATCTCTAAACTCACAGCTGCTGGTCAAGCACTGAATCAGCCAATCACATGGTGTCAACTCGACGCGTTTGAGCATCTGGTTATGGTGAAAACGACTTACAGAAGTTGGAACGGAGTGATAAATGATTGATAGATGAACATGACACAGTATCAGTGGGACTGTTGAATGGACACAAATGCTAATCAGAGATCAAACTGGTTTCAAATTACAGAAAGGCAACAATAACTTGAATAACCACCAAATACAACCAAAATATTGGACCTTTAAACAAATGGGCAACAGAAGAAAACCACCTGCCACATTTCACACATGCTGACAGAAATTAGACGATAGGAGAAACGGTGCCTGATCCAATGAGTCTCATTTTCCACTAGAGTGTTTACATAACATAATCGAAATTTGCAACACGCCACAATTAATGCAGTCCCAAAAAGACCAAAGAACGTTTATATCTATTCCTTCATGCTATTTTACTACGACACAATGAGCTGGATAAGCCCAAATAACCCACTGTTTGCAATGATGGTGGTGCTTAGAAAGTGGTACATGCTATGAAAAGGTTTGATAATGACTAATCTGAAATATTCGTTTCAAATAATTATAGTGGAGTAATTTGGTTATATGCGTTTCCAGTCAACGATGTCGAGTTATTTTGGTTTCTTTGGGAGTCATAATGAGTCAATGCTCTCAAACAGGTTTGAGAAGCATAATCAATCCAGAGAAAATACGATATAAAGTCTTCAGGAAAAAATGCAGCCAAATTAAAGTAGGTTGGAATGAAAAAATGGAACCACTTGAACCAGTTTGTCCATTTAGTCCATATGATCACACAGCTGAAATCCACTCAGCTTTTTTCCAAAGTGC